AAGTATTTTTTTGGTCAAATATAATTTTATTTTTCAACATAATCTCCTTTTAAGTCGATACACTTTTCCCATCGATACTCTAGGCTCTTTAACCTTTCCAAATAGTAATTGACGTCTTGCTCCGCAAAATAGGCGTTTACGTATGCGATGACCTCCTCGTTCGATGAAAATCTCTGTCCTCCAAGCGAAACTTTAAGCTTAGGAAACAGGAAAAAGTCGCTGGGGGCCAGATCTGATGAATACGGTGGGTGGTCAACCAATTCGAAGCAGTTCGTGAATTTTGGCCATGGCGACCACCGAAGTGTGAGCAGATGCGTTGTCTTGATGGAACAGCACTTTCTTCTTCTTCAAATGCGGCCGTTTTTTTTGCAATTTCTGCCTTTAGCTTATCAAGTAATGATGCGTAATACGCTCCCGTTATTGTTTTATCTTTCAAGATAGTCGATACACACAATTCCGTGACTATCCCAAAAAACAGTCGCCATTACCTTCCCAGCTGATGGAATTGTCTTCACCTTTTTCGGAGCAGGTTCACTCTTTGCAGTCCACTGTTTTGTTCTTTTGTCTCTGGAGTGTAGTGATGGATCCAAGTTTCATCTACAATTATGAATCGACGCAAAAAATCTGACTTGTTTTGCTTGAACCGCTCCAACAGGGCCTTGGAAATGTTCATTCGAATTCGTTTTTGGTCCAAAGCGAGCAAGCGCGGCACCCAATGCGCGGATAGCTTGCGCATATCCAATTCTTTAGTCAATATATGACAAACGCGTTCTTTCGATATGCCCATAACCTCTGCTATCTCTCTAACCTTGATTCGATGGTCGTCTAGTATCATTTGGTGAACATTTTCGATGTTATCAGCGGTGGTCGCAGTTTTTGGCCGTCCCGAACGCTCATCATCAGCCAAGCTGGTACGACCACGTTTAAATTCAGCTGCCCATCTTTTTACGGTGGCAAATGATGGGACAGAGTCCCCGTAAACAGCGTCCAACTCGATTTTAATTTGCGCAGGCGCATTGCCTTTCAAATATAAGAATTTAATCACGGCACAATATTCAATTTTTTCCATTTTTACAAAAATACTGACATCGACTGACACAAACGACTGTCAAACAACAACTGAGCGTTCAAAATGGCTGAAATTTTCACAAAAGTCATTCAAAGCATATACTATTGTAGTACTAGAATGGTTTTGATGAGTAACGTCATCTTCATGTTAAGACTCAAAACTTTTCAGACTACCCTCGTAGCTTAAGTCGAACGCGGGGAAATATTCCTGAGAAGCGGTTATCATCGTGATATTCGCGTCTGTCAGCTTTGTCATAGTTATCGGTTGCGAGTGCGTAACCAACGGTGTTCAATTTGTAATTTCCGCGTGTGAAGAATTGAATAAAGCATTGTTCCTTTTTTTTATAATAAACGAACATTTTACTTGAATACGAATAAACGCTTCATCATCCTGATCCTGGCCTTACAGTCAGATCCTGATCTTACAAAAATAATATTATTAATTATTATCTTTCTTAATTAATTATAATATATAAATAAGAAAAATATTTCCTATATTTAATATAATTATTAACAAATTCATAAAAAAGTAAACAAAATATATAACAATTTATAAACAATTTTCATAATAAAAATGATTCTCATTAAACATAATGTAGATTCACGGCTCTATATATATAATTTAATTATCTACAAGAATTACATATGCAATCGAGATTTTAAAATTAAGACTATTTATATGATAATATAGCAGCATTCATTAACCGGATCTATCATATTTTATGTCAAAATTCCGTGTTCACTTGTATCATCATTTCAGTTGCAGGTTTCATCCCATTATAGAAGTTAAGCAGCAGGATCCCAAGTAGGATGGGTAACTGTTTTAAAAACATGCAATGATACAAGATAAAAAATATACAAATTTACAAAATTACAAGAAAATCGAAGAAGGGAGGGGGTTATATTACATATTTATCCAATTTCTTTATTTTCAAGAGTCTTCTTATTCTAATCCGAATGGTACTAGCTATAATTAAAAAACAGAAAAATTTGTTTCCACATTGCCAACTCGACTCAAATGATGTCGTTTGTATAAAAGATTTGACAATAGGCACCAAGTTATAATCTTACTATAAAAATTTGCATTTTTTTACTAAACTCAATTGATATGTATTAAAAAAATAAAATCTAATTGACACAATATCTTTTATTTTAAGAAAATAGAACCTAAGTGGTACGTATCTTTGTATCTTCATTGAAGAATCTTTTTTATTCTAATCCTCGTGATAGTAGTCTTAATTCTTTAAAAAAAATTTAAATTTTCAATGAAGAATCTTCCTATTCTGACCCAAATGATACTACTACTTAATTTTTTAAAAAAGAAAATTTTGTTTCCAATTCAAATGATTGTAATAATATATAAAATTTGTATAAAAGATTTGATATCAATAATTGGCGCCAAGTTATAGCTCTATAAACATTCAACTACAAGTCCACCTTAGTCAAATTATGTATTTTAATTGTATAAAAGATTTGATATATACTACACTATTTTAAACAAATAAAACCCAAATAATATCTTTAATTTAAAAATAATAAAAATTAAATTATATGTATAACTTTCTAGCAATTCAAGACATCTTTTTTTAACCAAAGTGATAGTAATTTAGTTTTAAAATATTATTATATCACAAAATTGCTTTATTCTATACAACTCTATACAACCTACGTTTTTAAAGAATTAAAGAATAATAATACAAAATAAATGATAAAATTTTAGTCTTACTGATGTTTGATTTTATGTGTGGAGTGGATTTTGCTGTTGATTGTGAAGGCAAGTGTGATTGTGCGAGAGTGAATGGAAATACGAGAGTGTTGCCTGCTGTGCTTGTGAGTATTCCAATGAGTGGCTGGAGCGATTCTGGTAAACGCTGTCATGCGAGAGGCGTAAGGCTCTGGACATCTTCTCCCAGTATTGAAATGTCTTGTTAATATTGAGTATCGAGATTGATCTATATAGGATGCCAATGGTAAGGTAATTTCCAAGTCAAGCAAGTGCTTGGCAAGTACGTGCCAGTATGATATTATAAGGACAAACGATTGTTCTGAATCACCCTGCATGTGTGCGTGCGTGCGAGCGTGCGAGCGTGCGTGCGTGCGTGCGTGCGTGCGTGCGTGCGTGCGTGCGTGCGTGCGTGCGTGC